CTTTCCAATTATATAAATATGTATGTAGTAAACGTATGGGGATGAGAGTGTCAGAGTGTGGGCATAAGAAAGAAAAGAAAGAAAGACACAAGTATGCCATATGTATCTCGTCCATCTTTTGTGAGTGTAAAAGTATAAGCCAAATTAATAAGGCTATACTTATGTTAAGTTTATTCCTAAATTGAGTGATTAAACACCAAATGTTTCCTTTGTCTTGATCCAAAATTACCATTACTTCCGCAAATACCCAACAGCTACTAAGTGTACAGATTACTACTACTGCGGCCTCCGCCTTGCTGCCAAATCATCGTCTCCATGCAATGGGAAGCTGGTCGGCATCATCGACGACTCCGCCGCCGGCTCGGGTCAAGAAGCTGGCCAAAGAAGAAAGTTGCTACAAAAGATTGCACCAGTGCAGCAGCGGCGGATCCAGGACATAGAAGAGCACTAGGCCGCATGTGAATAGAAAATTAGATACCGTAAACAAAATATAAATGATGACAAGGTTTCTGGGAAAGGGTCCACGGGAGGAGTTACGGGTGGTAAAAAGGATAAAAAGAGTAAGGGTAAGAAGCAGTAATTAAGGGTAAGGTTCTCGAGTAACAAACTAAAGTGGGCTAGTTGGTGAACATTTGATGTAACAGTTTCATTTCCTTACCAGAGGTAAAAAAAAAAAAAATACTTTTGAAGATGGGACATATGTTGGCTCAACTTATAAGGAATATTAATTAATAAAGTGTTTAATGTATTACTTATTATTAAAGTGTAATATTGGCTCGATTCAAGTATATGCATATATGCGCGCTTGCGGCGCTGGTGGTGATCTGTGTATAGGAATGATCCTAAATACACTGAAATAAGGTTCGAAAGAGTTTAATCAAATAGGTCGATTTATCGCGATTCGTATTGCGGGACAACACATGTTCTTATCAAGAAACTCTTTATTAGTTAGTCACATCACAGGTATCAAGCAATATCATCAATCATTTAACACATATTTATTCATGTAAAACAAAACAAAAAATCGTGACGAACATTAAGAGTCGTTATAAAGTCAAATATGGGTCGCCAAACCTATTTGGTGACCAAAAATATTTGGTGGAAACCTTTGGTCACATTTCCTTAAGATCAAATTTTTATTTGGTTACCATACATGAATTTTGTGACCAAAAAATGTAATTATCGAAATGGTATTTTTGTCACCAAAATTATTGGTCATTAAAAAGTCTGTCTTAATTGGTACGAAAAATGCATATCTGGTCACTTTGGTTAAGAACTCTTTTATCATTACCAATATTTTACGGTAATCTCATATTCCAATATCACTTGTACTCAATAATCAATCTCATAACCCTAATTTCTCTTCTCAATCTCTCTCAATTTGCTCCCAATTTTTTTTTTATGGGCAATATCAAAGAAATAGATGGTGGCGACAGGCATCAACGTAAAAAGAAATAGCTAAACTAGAAAGCATGTAGAATGTTAACTTAAGAAGAATCCATGGAAGAAGTTGTCGGGAAAGACAATATCGAATTCACTATCTAATTACTTGACTCAACCAGATTATTAATTAATTTAATTTTCATTCAATTTATTTAGGTTATCTCTAAGGTGATAGTTATCTTTATGAATACTCACTACGTAGTAAGTAGTCAATTAATTGTTTACTCTTGTACAACCAACTAATTATCTACCTAATCTGAAATCCGATAACTCTTATATTTACATATTTTAATACTATCACCACAACAAATGTTTTGTAATGCAATAAGGTTAAGGTGCGTCAATTATAATTATTGGAGGTGTGTCGGAGATCCCGTGTAGGAATTTTTTTACACCAAAAAAAAATGGGTTCCTCACAAAAATTTCGGAGCAAGGTGTGTCGGGTGCAGGGGCGGACCCAGGGGGTTTTAGGGGTGTCCCCGGACACCCCTAAATTTTGGGAATACGATTATCCAACCCCGGTGGAAATTTACGTATGGACAAAAATAAAATATAATTGATAGTGAGCGACACTCCTGAAATTTGAAAACATGATTATCCTACTGTCATTTGTGTATAGGAATATAAGTGGTATATTGGGTAATTCAAATCTAGAACAATATTCTTATTAATAAACTTAATTTTCGTTGACCTACAACTCATTTGTTGTTCGATTTTGAAAAATGTCATAGTAAAATGTCATTTTCTATCTCTAATTATTTTAAAAACCTAATAATTAAACTAATTTCAAGCTACCCTTAATACGGCAAGTGTTGAAAGAGTCTTTCAGCTTTGGTTACATCGAGAACAAGTTTACAAATCGAATATGCGATAAGTTCGTGAATGATTGTCTAGTAGGGTATATAGAGACAATTTTTTTAACACTATAGACACCAAGTGTATTCTACAATTATTTCCGAATATGAAAACAAATCATGGACTTTTGTAACCTGTACGAGTAAGGTATTTTCAAATTTACGATTTTATTTTTATTATTTATTAATTATTTTTATTTAATTTATTTTTAAAAGAAGACACCCCTATGGAAAATTTTTGGGTCCGCCACTGGTCGGGTGACACACCTTGCTACAAGGTGGGTCCGCCCCTGCTTACAGGAAACGCCAGCAAAAGCTCGTGTGCCATGATGATCATGTTTGATGAGATGACATGACATGACATGAACGGTTCGATAAATCGTACGTGATCAACGACATTAATCGATATTTGTTTGTGATAACTGGATGATATTTCTCTCTGTTTATTGAAACAGAAATTGGTGGATTTCTGTTCGATCTTGTTAGCTTTTAAATAGAAAGGGGAAGAAAAATAAAAAGAGAATGACCTCTTTTAATCAAACCAATAATAGACATCGTCGGCAGCGACAGCGAGGACAAAACAAGCAAATCTGCGTTCCGGCGAATCCCTCACGTTTCGAACGCCGGGAAAATGGTCCCGCCGGGATGGACCGTTTTCGTCTCATTTGGATCGTCGAGTGAATTCCCCTCCACGTTGCATCCATGGTCCCCCTTGAAATAGTAACTGTACGTGTCCAAAAATAATTGTACGTTGCATGCATGGTACGTGTCCAAAAGTAACGGGACGTTGCATGTGTGGTCCCCTTGCAGTTTGTCCAAAACGTGTCCAAAAATAATTGTACGTTGCATGCATGGTCCCCTTGCAGTTTGTCCAAAAGTAACTGTACGTTGCATGCATCGTCCCATCGCAGTAGTAACTGCAATAATAACTGTACGTATTCCATAAACAAATATCTTAATATTCAACCACCCTCTCTTTGTCCTTTCCCCGCCCATATCTTTCACTCTTTGAAGCTTGGCACCATTGACGAACTTTTTTTTTTTTTTACAATAAATCAACTTTTATTCCACCAATGAAAGAAACGCGCTAAATAGCGATTACACACTTAAAGGAGATCAGAAATTAGGTCAAAAATACTAATCCAGTCCTCTGGCAGAGTATATCTAGCTTTAGATCGTGCCACCCAATCAGCTCTCACGTTCATCGCCCTTGGAACCTCCTTAACCGAAATTGCAGGGTTATTCCTAAGGATTTCAACCATTGTTCTAATCCATGCTGCACATCTCCAGGGCCATCAAGACTGATTTTGGTTCAGGGCCTTCACAAGAACTTGACAGTCAGACTGTATTGTACACACCGATCCATATTCTTGTGCTAATTTAATACCTTCCAAGAGTGCCTTCGCTTCCGCTTCTATCGGGGTGGAACAAAGAAGAAACTCAGCTCTCCCATCACACATTTGTCCATGGTGGTTAACAACAACAACACCATAAGCCGCCGACTGGGAGTCGCTAAGGAACGACCCATCACAGTGAATCACCAACGAGTGATTACTTGGCGGAGGATTCGTAGTGGGAAGGGATCCCCTGAGCTGAGTGGGGCCATCATTAGAAGGAGGCGGGGGCCTCGGGCAAGACTTCCACTCTGTTAGTTCTCTATAGGTTTGTAGACACACATTTGGGGGCCAGAGAACTCTATTTTTGAAGGTACTTTCATTTCTCGCCTTCCAAATGTTCCAACACAGAAAGATAATGTGAATCAGGGAGTTAATAGGGATGGTATCTTTGAGGGAGCAGAACCATTCAAAGAAAGAGGTGCCCTGGGGAGGGATCGGGATGGATGGGAAAATGGAATTCCATGCCTCTCTGGCATGAGGGCAGTAAAAGAGGCAATGGTTAAGGGATTCCACCGGGTCTTGACAAACCTGGCAACACGGGTTAGAAGCACATTTCCGTTGAAAAAGCCTTGCTTTCGTTGCCAACCCATTTCTGGAACATCTCCAAATAAAGAATTTCAGCTTAGGTGGAATATTCAATCTCCAAATCCATTTCCACCTCTCTTCACTGGTGCCATATATCTTAATATTCAACCACCCTCTCTTTGTCCTTTCCCCGCCCATATCTTTCACTCTTTGAAGCTTGGCACCATATCTTTCACTCTTTGAATCCTCCATGTAGGGGTGGCTATACGGTCCAGTCCGGTTAAATTGGCCCGAATTGATCCGGTTTCAGTCCGGTCTTTTCATGAATATAAGAATCAAAGATTGGATTGGATACACTCCGGTCTTGATCCGGTCCGGTCTTGACCCGGTCCGGTCTCAATTCGTTCTTGATTTTAGATTGAGCTTGTGGGGATTTGAGTGGCCTACGAACTCAAAGGGTGAGGAGTTGGTTAAGTTTTGGGTGTTGGGCTCTCTTATCTGGTCTTTATCCGGTTTTCGATGAGGAGTTGGTTAAGTTTTGGTGTTGTACTCTCTTATCCGGTTTTCGATCCGGTCCCAAATGATTTTTTACCTCAAATCTAAGACCGAATATTGGATTGAATTGTATGCTATCCGGCTCCGATCCCGATCCCGGTCCGAGTTATAGGTCCGGTTTCGGGTAAGACCAAATAGCCCGAACCATATAGTCAGCCCTACCACCGACACCAATGTTACGATATATATATATATATATATCACACTTCTAAGTTTATAACAAAACACACACAATCTCTCGCCCTCTCTCTCCTACTTCTACTTCAAACGATCATCATGAAGGAACTCTGCCTCCTCCTTCTCCTCCTCCTCCTGGTAACGGCCGCCAGCGGCGGGCTGCCGCCAGCGGCGGGCTGCCGCCAGCGGAGGTGAGGGAGGTGTACGGTAACGGCCAGATCTTCGACATTACCCACGGGCTGAAACCCAACCTGTGCAAGTTCGGTTCGGCCGGCGGGGTGGGCCCGGTGTATACGCTGGTGCAGAGCATAAAGAACGGCTCGGCGGTTAACGAAGGCGAGATCAACCGGTTGGGGACCCACACCGGGACCCACGTCGACACGCCGGGACATTTCTACCAGGACTACTACGACGCCGGCTACACCCTCGAGTCCCTCGACATGGCCGTCCTCAACGGTAAACTAAAATCAATTCTCTAAGAATGGCTGTTAGAATTACTGGGTTTAGTCTAGTGTGAACTTCAAGCGCGCGGACAATATCGTACTTATGAGCTTTGTAGACACTTATACACAAGGGTTTCTGGCTTTCTGCCCTTGTATTACTGATGTGGTATTTGAATTGTCCCGTGACAATTACCAATTTTTTTACTTGCAGGCCCAGCATTGTTGGTTGATGTTCCTAGGGACAGTAACATTACTGGTAAGTGCTAAAAAGTACTAACCATCATTTGCTAATAGCTTCTTGCTTGTGAAAGTCTTGTTTTGGTGTTGTTTTGGTGAAACTGGGTTTCCTTTCTGTTGTGTGACACAGCTAAAGTTATGGAGTCACTGCAAATCCCAAAAGGAACCAGGCGTGTGTTGTTCAGGACTCTGAATACCGATAGGTATAAAAACGGAAAGAAACGTTGCAACCCTTTACATATCCTACTATATGAACAATTATATGAGTAGAATGTGAATCTGCGGGTTGTGGGTTTCCATTTTCAGGCGTTTGATGTACAAGACGGAGTTCGATTCGAGCTTTGTCGGGTTCATGGCCGATGGGGCACAGTGGCTTGTGGACAACACAGACATCAAACTTGTTGGTAAGTTTTTTTTTTGTCCAATCCTTCTAACCTCGAGAAGAAGAAGCTACCAAATTAATGGTCTCACAAAATTAAGGAATTTGGGCTCTGGTGTTTTGAATCTCAGGAGTTGATTACATATCTGTTGGTGCCTTTGTCGAGGATGGTCCGGCTCATCTAGCTCTCCTGAAGAGCAGGGTAAGAGGAAAAGAGAAGAAGAAGAAGAAAAAAAAAATTGGATTCTACTTTTCACTATTGAGAAACGTGTGAAATGAGACCGCTTTGTTCTCTGTTTGTTGTAGGAAATCATTGTCGTTGAAGGCATGAAGCTTGATGACGTTGAAGCTGGGCACTACAATGTTCATTGCTTGCCTATCAGGCTGGTTGGAGCTGATGGAGCGCCAGCAAGATGCATTCTCATCAAGAACAAGCTCTATACCACCATGAGTTTTGAATCTGGCGGTCTCGAATTTAAATCTTTTTAAGTAGTACCCTGTCACAAATAAAGTAAAACATATATCACTCTTATAAAAATAAAGAGATGTATTCTCATTAAATAACCATCTATGTGTAACGTAATATGCTCTGCTGTAATTTAAAGCAATACCTACTTGAATATGTGTTGAAAGGTAAGTTTATCTTCTATTATGATATCAAAGGACAGTCTCATGTGCAATAAGTTCGAATAATGAGTTGAATGACAAATCTCCATGAACAACAGCTTAATTACAGCAAGACATGATAATGCATGGAATAAATTGGATGGACCAATGAATGGCCACTTTCATTTCCAATTCATGCACAAAGAACAACGTGAGAGAGAGCGCAAAGGGTTATCTACAAAAGTGCTAATTTGTTCCCAATTCCCTATTATGGCAGAGTCACGTATATAGAGTATACCATGTGAACATATTTGGTTTACAAACCCACCTTGATTTTATTTCTATTAAAAAAACACTCAAGTTGGTTTCAAAAAAATTTGTCAGAAAAAGAAAAGCAGAGCAAATCAAGCATATCCTAGAGGCCAAATACACTTGTGTCGCCAAAACTTTGACGCTTTTGTCAAATGTAGAACTTTTGGTGAAATACCAAAAATAGCCAAAAATTTGAAAGTTTGATGACAATAATAGCCATTTCCGTTACATAGTTTGACGGCGTCAGTGACACCGTTAGTCGAATTAATGGAATGATGATATGACTGCCAACTCACCTTACACATCATCGACAACTCACCAACACTTGCACATGAATGCCATGTCATATTTTAATTTAAAAATAAATGAAAATCACAAATGATAAATGATAAAAATACAATAATCGATTTTTCTTTTCCTACCTCATCCACCGAACTGCTCGCCATAGCTGGAGGATTGCAACCACTGCAATCTGCCAAAAGGAAAAAGACAAAAACTTTAGATCTGGGTTCAGCCGCCAACTCTTCGCTTTGGGTGTTGCCGGTATGATCTGGGTTCCGCACCTTTAGATCTGGGTTCATTCCTCCCCTGGCTCTCTCTCCGATGATCATGCCTGGAGGGGCTCGACAAATGGAGTTTCCGACATAGAGAACGAAAGAAGCGAGAAGACACAACACACACAAATGAGCCAATCACAGCCAAAATTCCAGCCCGTGGGAAGTTGAAAGCCTGAAGAAGGAAGAGATAAAGCAATGGCGGAGCCTCATCCACACACTCCTCACTTTGGGCAGCGTCCATCCGCCAAACCGAATCCCTAAAAGTTTACTCTCCACACAATCCATGCTGCGAAAGAGCATGATCCTCCATTTTCCACAGAGATGAGTAGTTCTTGTGCATCCTCCGTCGCGGCCATCGTCGGCCTTTTGTCTGCACCGCGCCCCTGCGCTACTCTGCTACCTCCCTCGCTCGCTCTCCTTGCCATGATGACAACCGCCGCCGCCACCAGATAGAGGAGGAGGCAGCCGATCTGCTGCGAAGTGGCGGTCCGATGTCGAGCGATTCGGCGACGTCGTCGGAGAACAGGATCGGAGCAAGGGTGCGGGTGACGGCGAAATCCAGAAAACAAAGGTTGCAATTTGAATCGAGGGAATGGAGCGTGAGATCTGAACACCCTAAACAGACCAAGAGAGAAGATGGGAATGGCGGAAGGTTCTCTAACATTGGAGAAAGCCTAGGAGTTACAACCGAAAAGCTGCTTAATCTGAGGGTGTTGTGAGGGTATCTATTTTCTCCGGGAGATTCCATCATCGTCTGCATCTCACCAAGGAGATGGTAGAGTCAGCTCCACACAAGGAGCTTTTGATCAGAATCCCGGGATTCATAGCCCAATTGATCGAGAAAGAAGAGGCTTAGGGTTCCTTCCGGGAGTGAAGACTTCAACGACGAAGAGGAGGAATCGAAGGAAGAGGGAATTAATTAGTTCGAAGAGAAGGAGTCGAAGGAAGAGGTATCGAAAGAAGAGGGAGGAGTTTTTTCGCCGGCAGTGAATGAGTATTCTCGATTAATTGTACAGGGATAAGGGGGAGAAGATGGGATTGGAGAAGATGAGTGAGAGAGGGAGACTTTTCATTTTCATTTTTGGTTTTATTTTTTATATTTTAAAGTTAAATCCACATGGCATTGTTATTTACGAAATGTTGCCACGTCATCTTTTCTGTTAGTCCAGTCAGCACGTTAACTAACACCGTCAAACAATTAGACGGAAGTGGCTATTTTTGGTATTTCGCCAAAAGTGGATATATTTGGCAAAACCGTCAAACTTTTGGCTACACAAGTCTATTTGGCCCAAAGTAAACCAATTCCTTAGATTACTAGGAAAAAATATTGTCCGATTTCAAAGCTGCACGCGAACTAATTCAAAAAGTTCCAATAAATTGAGTGTGTCTACCTTTTTTTTTTTTTTTTTGCGCAGTAGGATCTTTAGAACGGAACTCCATTTAGTTCGCCATGACAAAACTGAAATCGTTACTCCTACTTGTTCAACATTGTACTTTGATTCGGCTCTTTGAAAAAAGAACATCTGCTAAGGGGTTTGCTATTAGGTGAAATGTAGACGAAATTGCGCTTAAAAAATAAAAACTTGTGTTTTCATACTTCTTTATCACCAAAATGATTCTACATAAAATCATGTTTTTTTCCTTACAAGTGTAATCGTGTTTTAATAACTTAAAAGCTTATAATTTTAACTTCATAGGTTATCAAAACGCTTCCGCTTCTGACTACATCGATCAGGTGGAGCAAACAGTCAAACTGCATGCCAATTGAAGAGGATCGATTGAAAGATATGGCGCTATCTCTTTGCATCCATTTATATAAAAATAAAAAATCTCTAAACAATAAATCTAAAACTAACCTTATTAAATTGGAGATGTGATTCATAACCTCATTTTATATACACCATTGGCTCAACTAAATTATGTAATAGCCAAATCGCAGAGTTGACTTGAGTACTATATATTCTACAAACTAAAACATCAAGTTGTTCTTAAAAAAAGTCTGGCAAATGTGAATGCAATCCCACATTCTTGCTGCTATAATTAGAAGGGTGCTTCTATTACGAGAAATATAGCATCACTCACGCCATATCATACAAAGAAATAGAAATGGCTCATCGTCTTCGTCTTCTTCTTCATCTTCTCTTGGTAGCACTGTCGCTGCTAAGTATACAGATTACTACTGCTGCGACGACTTCCTTGCAGCCCAACAATAATCCAGCATCGTCGCCGCCAAGCAAAGGGAAGCTGGCCTGCGTCATCGACGGCGGCGGCGGCGGCTCGGGTCAAGAAGCTGGCCAGAGAAGAAAGTTGCTACAGAAGATAGCAACAGCGCCGCCAGTGGTGGGCTCGGATATTGGTGGGAAAGGAAATGTTGGCAAGGTTCCTGGGGCAGGATCCACTGGAGGAAAACCTAGCGGTAAAAAGGATAAAAAGGGTAAAAAGGATAAGAAGGGGAAGAAGCAGTAAGGGTGGTAAGGATCTCGAGAGTGACAAAGTTGCTGGTTGGTGAACATTTGATGTAACAGTATCATTTACTTTCCAGCGGTAAAAAAAAATACTCATGAAGAAGATGTGATGACATATGTATTGGCTCTACTTATTATAAAGCATATTAATAAAGTGTTTAAAGGTATTACTTTATTAGTAAAGTGTAATATTGGCTCAATTCACCGTATGCATGTATGCTGGCAGCGGTGAGTTATGAGATCGAGCGGACGTACGTAGCACACTTTGAATAATAATTAGGTTTGTATATCTTCATTCAATTATTCGTATTAGTATGATTTGGAATTATTTAAGGTTAATATTAATGATTTTTTCTAGTCGAAATAGGATTAGTGTTTCTTAATGAAATTCAACTATTGAAATAGGTAAAGGATAAGGAGCAAGGTTGTCAAACTTGTAATGTTTTGGGAGAATTTTTTCGGATGTCATTTTCGTGATTTTTTAAGCGATTTATTGAAGGTTTCAGATCATAGATTCGAGTCGAGTCTATTCTACATCAATGATAAAGTCTATTAATCGCTAATTTGGACGGATATTTTATGGAGGGCATTTTTGTAATTTTTTGGGAGATTTTTTGAAAGACCATTTTCTTTGGATTTTGAAGACTACAGATCACATATTCGGCCTGAGACTATAATTTCATCGATGATTAAGTCAATTAAGCACAGATTTGGGCGAATTCATTTTCGAATGTAATTTTCGTAATCGTGTGTGCACTTTTTTTTCGGAAAGCCATTTTCCTTGGATTTTGAAGGCTACAGATCACGGATTCGGTCTGAGGCTATTTTTTCAACGATGATTAAGTTCATTAAAAACCAATTTGGGCGGAGTTCTTCCGTGTCCATTTTTGGTAGACTCCAAAGGGGTACCATCACGGATTTCGGGCAATTTTCCCGAAATGTCATATTTTCTTTCGATTTTGAAGGCTACATATCATGGATTCGGTCTGAGGTTATTCTCCAACATAATAAAGTCTATTGATCCTATTCTCCACCGAAGATTAAGTCCATTAAGCACCGATTTGGCGAATTCATTTCGGATGGCATTTTCGTAATTGTTTGGCGATTTTTTTAAAGGTCATTTTCCTTGAATTTTGAAAGCTACAGATCACAGATTCAACTTGAGACTATAATTTATCGATGATTAAGTCCATTAAAAAATTACGATATTACGCTTTTTGGTCACCAAAACAATTCTACATAAAATTATGTTTTTTATACTTACTAGTCAAAATCGCGTTTTAAAACATAAAAACTTACGGTTTTGATTTTTGATATCACTAAAATGCTTCTGCTTAGAATCGCGCTTCTGACTACATTGACGAAGATCACGATGCAACACACGGTCAAAAAACATGTCAATTGAAGAAATCTAAAACTAACCTTATTAAATTGGACATGTGATTCATAACTTCATTTTATATAAACCATTGACTCAACTAAATTATGCTTGTATATATATACACGCCTGCAGTAGCCAAACCGAAGAGTTGACTCGAGTATTAATCTATAAACTAAACATCAATTTGTTCTTAAAAAGTCTGGCAAATGCTGATGCAATCCCACATTCTTACTTTCTATAAAAAGGCTGCTGCTACTACGAGAAATAGCATCACTCAAGCCATCACCTTCTTCTTCATTCTTGCCTGGTAATTAATACAAAGAAAATGGCTCATCATCTTCTTCTTCATCTCTTCTTGGTAGCATTGTCGCTGCTAAGTGTACAC